CTCGGGCCTACTAGAACATGGTGTATATATGTCCTGTACATCTGGGATACTAGGTCATGGTGTATTTATCGTGGAACTTTAGTCTCCTGGGCATGGTGTACAGGTTATGTAAATCTTGTCTACTAGGACATATGTGCCATAAATCTCTCATCTTCATATATATCATATAACTCCGGTCGACTGTATGGAGCATGGTGTATATGGCATGTACCTCCGGTGTATTAGGTATGGTGTATGTGGCATGTACATACAGTGTAAAAGGTATGGTGTATATGTCATGTACCCCCAATGTATTAGGTATGGAGTATATGTCATGTACATACGGTGTATTAGGTATGGTGTATATGTCATGTACCTCCGGTGTATTAGGTATTGTGTATATGTCATGTACCCCCAATGTATTAGGTATGGAGTATATGTCATGTACCCCGAACATATGAGGTAGGGTGTATGTCGTATGAACCTCAGGGATATTAGGTATCGTGTAGATGGCATGTACCTCCGGTGTATAAGGTATGGTGTATATGGCATGTACTTCCGGTGTATTAGGTATGGTGTATATGTCATGTACCTGCGGGGTATTAGGTATGGTGTATATGTCATGTACCCCCAATGTATTAGGTATGGTGTATATGTCATGTACCTCCGGTGTATTAGGTATGGTGTATATGTCATGCACCTCCGGTGTTTCAGGTATGGTGTATATGTCATGTACCTCCAGTGCATTAGTGTGGTGTATTTGTCATGTACCTCCGGTGTATCAGGTATAGTGTATATGTCATGTACCTCCGGTGTATAAGGTATGGTGTATATGTCATGTACCTCCGGTGTATTAGATATGGTGTATATGTCATGTACCTCCGGTGTATCAGGTAAAGTGTATATGTCATGTACCTCCGGTGTATAAGGTATGGTGTATTTGTCATGTACCTCCGGTGTATTAGGTATGGTGTATATGTCATGTACCTCTGGTGTATCAGGTATAGTGTATATGTCATGTACCTCCGGTGTATAAGGTATGGTGTATATGTCATTTACCTCCGGTGTATAAGGTATGGTGTATATGTCATGTACCTCTGGTGTATCAGGTATGGTGTATATGTCATGTACCTCTGGTGTATCAGGTATAGTGTATATGTCATGTACCTCCGGTGTATAAGGTATGGTGTATTTGTCATGTACCTCCGGTGTATTAGGTATGGTGTATATGTCATGTACCTCTGGTGTATCAGGTATAGTGTAAATGTCATGTACCTCCGGTGTATAAGGTACGGTGTATATGTCATGTACCTCCGCGGTATTAGGTATGGTGTATATGTCATGTACCTCTGGTGTATCAGGTATAGTGTGTATATGGCATGTACCTCCGGTGTATTAGGTATGGTATATGTCATGTACCTCTGGTGTATCAGGTATGGTGTATAGTCATGTACCTCCGGTGTATTAGGTATGGTGTATATGGCATGTGCCTCCGGTCTATTAGTGTACGGTGTATATGGGGTGTATGTGAGTAGCTCTGGTGTCCGGTGTATTTGTCTTATAGCTGTAGTATACTAGGGCTTCGTGTGTGTGTGTGTGTGTGTGTGTGTGTGTGTGTGTGTGTGTGTGTGTGTGTGTGTGTGTGTGTGTGTGTGTGTGTGTGTGTGTGTGTGTGTGTGTGTGTGTGTCTGGGATACTAGGTCATGGTGTATTTATCGTGGAACTTTAGTCTCCTGGGCATGGTGTACAGGTTATGTAAATCTTGTCTACTAGGACATATGTGCCATAAATCTCTCATCTTCATATATATCATATAACTCCGGTCGACTGTATGGAGCATGGTGTATATGGCATGTACCTCCGGTGTATTAGGTATGGTGTATGTGGCATGTACATACAGTGTAAAAGGTATGGTGTATATGTCATGTACCCCCAATGTATTAGGTATGGAGTATATGTCATGTACATACGGTGTATTAGGTATGGTGTATATGTCATGTACCTCCGGTGTATTAGGTATTGTGTATATGTCATGTACCCCCAATGTATTAGGTATGGAGTATATGTCATGTACCCCGAACATATGAGGTATGGTGTATGTCGTATGAACCTCAGGGATATTAGTATCGTGTAGATGGCATGTACCTCCGGTGTATAAGGTATGGTGTATATGGCATGTACCTGCGGGGTATTAGGTATGGTGTATATGTCATGTACCCCCAATGTATTAGGTATGGTGTATATGTCATGTACCTCCGGTGTATTAGGTATGGTGTATATGTCATGCACCTCCGGTGTTTCAGGTATGGTGTATATGTCATGTACCTCCAGTGCATTAGTGTGGTGTATTTGTCATGTACCTCCGGTGTATCAGGTATAGTGTATATGTCATGTACCTCCGGTGTATAAGGTATGGTGTATATGTCATGTACCTCCGGTGTATTAGATATGGTGTATATGTCATGTACCTCCGGTGTATCAGGTAAAGTGTATGTGTCATGTACCTCCGGTGTATAAGGTATGGTGTATATGTCATGTACCTCTGGTGTATCAGGTATAGTGTATATGTCATGTACCTCCGGTGTATAAGGTATGGTGTATATGTCATGTACCTCTGGTGTATCAGGTATGGTGTATATGTCATGTACCTCCGGTGTATCAGGTATAGTGTATATGTCATGTACCTCCGGTGTATAAGGTATGGTGTATTTGTCATGTACCTCCGGTGTTTTGGGTATGGTGTATATGTCATGTACCTCTGGTGTATCAGGTATAGTGTATATGCCATGTACCTCCGGTGTATAAGGTACGGTGTATATGTCATGTACCTCCGCGGTATTAGGTATGGTGTATATGTCATGTACCTCTGGTGTATCAGGTATAGTGTGTATATGGCATGTACCTCCGGTGTATTAGGTATGGTATATGTCATGTACCTCTGGTGTATCAGGTATGGTGTATAGTCATGTACCTCCGGTGTATTAGGTATGGTGTATATGGCATGTGCCTCCGGTCTATTAGTGTACGGTGTATATGGGGTGTATGTGAGTAGCTCTGGTGTCCGGTGTATTTGTCTTATAGCTGTAGTATACTAGGGCTTCGTGTGTGTGTGTGTGTGTGTGTGTGTGTGTGTGTGTGTGTGTGTGTGTGTGTGTGTGTGTGTGTGTGTGTGTGTGTGTGTGTGTGTGTGTGTGTGTGTGTGTGTGTGTGTGTGTGTGTAACATGAGTTGTACTGGCTCTGCTAACAGCATATTCCACATGTCAGTCCATATTTGATAATGTCATAATGTGACGATGTCGTATTTCCCATAGCATGTATACACGTTAATATTTTTTGAAGGGTGGGCATCCTCCATTCTGTATCCCTTTTGACGAGAGAATCCCAGTCAAGTATGTCCTGCTTAACTGTGTTGAATCTGCCGTCAATGTTGTTTTATGAACATGTTTTGTAGAAGATAAATGACTTTTAAATAGGTAGAATAAATTCGTAAATAAGACTGTAGGGGCTGTTCCTTCGAATGGGTTTGTAGTAACGTAAAACCGTTGTCCCCCTCAGAGGGTACCTCAGACTACGTTATTCACAGTATTCTTTATGGCTATCATAGGTTCAATCGCAGGATATTTGTATATCTTCATTGTCGGCTAAACAACAGTAATCAACAGCAGTGTTAGAAATAGTTGCCTGCCCGCTAGCCAAAACCCAGTGACTTCTGAATTGGGCTGGCAACATTTCCAATAAAGCTCGCTCTATAAGTGTCAAGTGAAAAATTCTACACAATACGTATTTATTTCTATGAATCTTCAAGTCAGTTAAGGTGTCATTTAATGTCAAAGACTGTTGTCATTTTGTTTTCATTTGGTAGTTTATCGGAAATCCACACGAAGTTGTAGACTGAGGTTTTGCTGTACACTGATCATGACGGATATGCATGTGCATGCGTTATTAGCGATATGTGTGGACGTCTAAGAACCACCACAAAAGTATGACAAACGTATTGTACCAGGTGGCCCATCAGCTTCGCCGTTGTTGAGCGTAAGGACTTGCAACAACTTGTCAAATATTTTCCATTGAAATGTCAGTCACGCCTGGCGACAAATTCACTAGCCATGTCTTGGTGACAAACTGGGGACGTCCGATAGCGCGTTCTCGTATATTGTATGCCTATTTCACAATGAATTATAAAGTATTTACAAACCAAGTATTGCTATTTCTGACATCAACACTACTGATGCAACTATATATTCGCGACTGTAATCCGTAAAGTCAAATACCCCCTCTCTCCCTCTCTCTCTGATCATGATGGAAGTATCGAAAGTGTCGTTGTGGTGTTACTAACTTCTGCTGCTAGTATGTATTGTTCGTGCTCTCTCTCTCTCTCTCTCTCTCTCTCTCTCTCTCTCTCTCTCTCTCTCTCTCTCTCTCTCTGCCAACATCCAGTCATAAAATATACATGTACGTATACACCGACGAAACATAATACATACTATAATTAATATAATAATTACGAGACAGTCTCTAAATTGGGCACTATTTCTATATGCGCACTGCTTGAAGGTGCTTGACTTAGTATGCTGCGCTGGCTCATTGACCCAGAACTGCACAATGGCGGCCTCCAGTAGACGGACACAAAACGCAATGCATGCATGTAAGTCACGAGATTAACGTCCATTGTTACTTTTTGTTAAGGAACACTCTATTGAAGCTGTTTCGAGACACGAAAGTCGTCGCCACATAGGTGAAAATGTAGACAATGACACGAACCCCATGTCCACTCTAAACTCGATATATATTTTTTATGCATATTAAGTTCTAGCATTGTTCACAGATAATTATTTTTTATATATTCTTATTCATTCTTGTAAATATAATGTAGTATTATTTTTATTCAATTTTACATTCACTCACATAAGAAAACATAATCTAGCTACATATCACATATGACGTTGCAATATTTTACTCTCTTCCGTTCAATCACTTCTGTCTCTGTTCTCACACACAAACCCATATGTTATATTCTTACCTGCCAAGTCCCCAGACCAAACACTGGCATAGACTTTCCATTACTAAACTTCAAGACGGGAACTGCTGCCATGTTGAACACACAGGAGACCGGTACACGACTGCCGTCTCACGTATTTTAGAGAGAATAACTGGATAGATAACCCGACTTCATTCACCCCGAGTTGTTGACCCAAATACACGAACAACTTTGTCAAATGCCTGTCATCAGATGTAAGTTTCACAACATTTCAAAAGGGAGGCAAGTTGTTTTGTTTCATGTTTGTACACACCCATATTATACGCTTGTGGGTATACAGCGAACCAGACAAAAGCTTTGTTATATTGAAACGGGACGAGTACATTTGAACATAATGCAAATCACAAACAGATACATATATACTGAAAAGCAAAAGAAACGTCACCATGGATAGATATATGAGAAACTTTATTTGTTCAAACACTGTACTCGTCACGATATGGCTGAAATATTGCCGATGTGACGTAAAGCATTAACTCACACTCACTCAAACACTGTAAACATACTTTGAGACATATTGGGAATATATCTCTGGGAAAATGGCATCAAAAGACAGTATCTCGTGTGTCCGTCATGTACATTGATGACTGTCGTGTAACGTCGATACATGGAATGGATGAGGCGGTTGATGAAGGCCATAGGCACTTGAGCCTACACTCTGAGGAACGCCTGACGCAGTTGAGCTGCAGTTGTCGGCCTTGGTCGGACGTCATTCAGCCGTCTTTGAATCTCGTCCCGCAGGTGCTCAATGGGATTTAAATCGGGACTGAGGGCAAGACACTGCATGGGTCTGATGCCATTCTGCTGGAGGAAGTCTCTTGTTGCTCTTGCAGTGTGGACACGGGGGTTATAATGCTGAAACACGTTGTTGCGGTGACGTGCCAATTGAGGTGAGGTGAAGTAAAATGGCGTTTAACGTCGCGTCCAAGATTATTGCACTTATATAGCGACGTGCATGTACGTGTGTGTGTTTGTGTGGCTGCTTGTACTAGTCCGGACTGATGCCGATTTATAGTGCTAGCTCACGGAGATACCATGCCGCAGTTTAACATGAATACCCCACTCAGACACAGTATACCGACTCCGAACCGACCATTCCTTGTTTTAGCCCCTTTATGCCGAGCACCAGACAGTTTAACAACAAGTACCATCTTTTATCGTCTTTTGGTATGACACGGCCTGGGATCGAACCCCTGACCTTCCGCTCTCCTAGCGGACGCTCTGCCACTGCACTCCGGAGGCGGTTCGTGCCAAATGAAGTATGGCGTGTGGTCTCAAGACTTGATCAATGTACCGAGCAGTTGTGACACCATTGCCTATCCTTGGACCAATGTGCTGGAAGACCACAGGGTCGACCCTCTGTGCAAGACCAATTCCACCCCACACCATGATGCCCGGACCACCCCACGAGTCTCTCTCAACAACAGAAGCATCCGAATTACGTTTTCCACGGCGTCGCGAGTCTATCTCTTTCTCTGCCATCTGATGTTGAGATACAGTAACGGCTTTCGTCTGAGAAAAGGTCTCTGCTCCACTAGTGGTGGCGTCAATGCTGGTGCTGTGTTGCCCACTGAAGACGCTCCCGGCGATGACGTGGTGTCAGAATGGGTCCTCGGTGTGGCCTGTGACAGTGGAGATGTCTGCTCGTAAATCGTCGACGCACGGTGTCCGCACTAATGTGTCGCTGGTGTGTCCCCATGGTCTGTCGAGCAGTTTCCGCAGCAGTAACAAAGCGATCTTGAAGATACTGTCGCACAATCTGACGGTCCTGACGTCGGGTGGTGACCCTTGGTCTTCCACTACATAGTTGGTCATCTGTAGTGTTGGTGGTCTGGTACCATTGCTGGAACCTGTATATGGTCCCTACGTTGCCTTAAAATGCATTGGCTATTTGCCGGGCGGTTCGTCCAGCTTGCAATCGTCCAAGGGCTTGGTGTCGCTGATTTCTTGTCAGTCTTGGCATGTGGTAGCAATTCAATAACGAAAGAATGTTATCCGATTTTGGTTGATTTTTATAGAGCAAGAAATGGGAGAACGCATGTGCATTTCAGTTTCCACTGTACTCACGAGCATCGGGTTACCATAGCCGTTGCCGTGATGCGTTGGCGATCGGTTTTATTGTCATCTGATTTGTTTTTTTTATCATCAAATTACATTTTTCCGGACAATGTAATGTTAAATTTTAGAAACTTTGACAAAAATTACCCAGATATTTAAATGACAACTTTTCATGCAATGTTATTTGGGGTGATGTTTCTTTGCGGTTCAGTATATATATATATATATATATATATATATAAACTAGTGTCCAAAAGAAACGATCCCAACTTATTTTCAAAATTGTTTTTTACTAAGTGAATTGTCAAGTATGAAAACATGCCAATTCGTATTGCACATCCCCAACACAGCATAGTCGATAAAAAATACCGGGAACACGTGATCACTTCCGGGAAAAAAAGTAAATTTCGTGAAAGTGACATTTCCCTCTCTAGCATGTTCTGCACATGCAGAAAAACTGTATAAAACGGCTGATCAGACACGTTGATATCACAGCAACAAAAAGAACACAAGATATGCCACGTTTGACAGCCATCGAGAGAGAGAGAGCCGTTGGAATGGTCCAACAAGGAGCGTCACACGTCGACGTCGCCAGAAGGTTGGGCTGCGCACGCATCACTATCACCAGGTTGATGCAGCGGTTACGTCAGACAGGTCAGACGTCAGACAGGCCCAGGAGTGGAAGACCACGAGTAACCACGCCCCGTGAAGATCGTTACATCCGGGTATTACACCTGAGGAACCGCACCGTAACAGCGACGTCCACGGCGGCTACAGCACTGGGACACAGGATCAGTCGACAGACCGTCTACAGGAGACTACGGTAGTATGGTATCCGGCCACGTCATCACTACCGCGGACCGACACCGGAACAAAAGACTGATCTGGGCCAGGCGAGTTCGACGTTGGCAACGGCGGGACTGGGCACGTGTTATGTTCTCTGATGAGAGCAGATTCCTCATCTTCAGAAACGATGGACGGCAGCTTGTATACCGACGATTTGGTGAACGTTTGGCGCCTAACTGTATCCAACAGGTCCGGCCGTTTGGAGGTGGAGGGTTAATGGTTTGGGGTGGCATATGTGGTGACGTCAAAACGATGTTTGTCGTAATTCGTGGAAACCTGAATGCACAGCGTTATCTTGATGACATCCTACGGCCTGTTGTGGTGCCCTTTATTCAGCAACAGCCTCGTGGACTCCTTTACCAACATGACAATGCAAGGCCACACACAGCAAGATTGACACAGAACTTCCTTGCCAACGCCAACGTACAGGTGTTGCCATGGCCCGCATGTTCAACGGACATGAATCCCATCGAGCACTTATGGGACCACCTCGATCGGCAAATCCGACGTCGCCGTGTGCCTCCAGTCAACGTCCAGGACTTGGAACGATGTCTCCTCGAGGAATGGCAACGCATCACTCCCAACGTCATCAGACGTTTGACGTCATCAGTCCGTAGGCGTGTTCTGGCATGTATTGATGCTCACGGTGGACATACCCGCTACTGACTTGACTTAGAGACGTGTGGTGTGACATTTCCCGTTGTTTCTGTGATCAGTGCTCTAACGAAATGTTCATTTTTCGACCCCACCTATCTTTAAAGGCTTGTCATATTGGTTGTACAGATTTTATTGAAATGAAATTTTTGTACAGATGTTGTGAAAGGATTTCTCAAAAGCATAACACCAATCCTAAACTTCTGCATTGTTTAGTTTTTCTTTTATGTCGTTGCAAACAGGTGGTATCGTTTCTTTTGGACACTAGTTAACCACGTAAGTTATTACCATTGTGTTTTTTTAAAGTGAGTGAGTGAGAGATTTCGTGTTTAACGTACGGTGCTTTCAACTGTCTATAATTGATGTCAGGGACGACACGCAATATCCTAAAAGTTGTCTCTTATGTTGCCTTCATAGACTGCAAGAAAGCATATGACAGGATAAATCGTAATATCCCATGGAATAGAATCTCAGAGTGTGGTATCGGTGGTAAAATGTTTAAATCTCTATAATCTTTGTAAAGATGTGAAATGTTGTGTGAGAGTGAATGGTTTCTTAACATCGTGGTTTAATTTCAATAGAAGATTGAAAGAATGTTGTTTATTATTCCGAATTTTGTTTAATATCTTAATTAATTATTTGTTATGTACGCTGAATAATTTGAATCTTGGTATAAAGGTTGGTGACATGAATATTGCAGCTTTAGGATATGCGGACGACATTGCAATTCTAGCTGAAAATGAAGATAATCTTAATCAAATTTTAGATGTACTTCACAATTGGTGCTGTGAAAACAAGCTAGAAGTAAATCCTGAGAAGTCTAAAGTTGTACATTTTAGAAATCCGTTTGTTAATCAGACGCAGTCTGTTTTTTATGTTGGTAAAAATAATATAGAAGTTGTGAGTAGTAATAATTATCTAGGTTTACTGCTAACAGCGCATCGAGATTGTACCGCTACGGCACGTGCATCAGCTAAGTCAGCAAATTGGGCGCTGGGCCTGCTTCTATCTAAATTTAAATGTATTGGTGGTATGCATTTCAATACATGTACAAAGTTGTATGATACTACGTTATGGCCTGTATTGAACTATGGTGGTTGTATATGGGACAATTATGCGGTGTCTGCGGTCAATGCTGTACATCATAAGCCATTAGATTTTTTCTTGGTATTGGTAAATATGCCCCAAATGTAGCCGTTAATGGTGATGTTGGCTGGTCACAACCTATTATTTCAGTCGATGTGTATTGCAACACATTAGTGTCGTTTTAAAAATATGCCGTCTAGACTTAATAAGTATGTATTTGTATCGGCTGATGATTGTGCTGCAAATAATTACAGAAATCGGAAGTTTAGAATACAAAAGAACTTTTGTGAATTTTGTTTATCTCAGGTTTAAAATACAAATTGCCCTGTTAACAGGTCGTTTTTATGTTCATGTGTAGAAGATCAGTTTATGAATGATTATTTGAGAAAGTTGAATGATATGCTTTTATGGGAAAATGGCAATAGTGGTTTTAACAAGTTAAGAACACATCGCTGCCTTAAACAATTTTATTGTACAAAAAATTATGTTTCATCTCATATTCCAAGATGTTTTTGATCCGCCTTTGCTGTTAGATACCCTTATTTACCAATCAATGAAAGAACATGCTTCCATTGCAAAAATTGTGTTGAAGATGAATGTCACTTCCCAGTATTCTTTATGGCTATCATAGGTTCAATCGCAGCATATCTGTATCGCTTCATTGTCGGCTAAACAACAGTAATCAACAGCAGTGTTAGAAATAGTTGCCTGCCCGCTAGCCAAAACCCAGTGACTTCTGAATTGGGCTGGCAACATTTCCAATAAAGCTCGCTCTATAAATGTCAAGTGGAAAACTCTACATAATACGTATTTATTTCTATGAATATTCAAGTCAGTTAAGGTGTCATTTAATGTCAAAGACTGTTGTCATTTTGTTTTCATTTGGTAGTTTATCGGAAATCCACGCGAAGTTGTAGACTGAGGTTTTGCTGTACACTGATCATGCCGGATATGCATGTGCATGCGTTATTAGCGATACGCGTGGAAACCTAAGAACCACCACAAAAGTATGACAAACGTATTGTACCAGGTGGCCCATTAACTTCGCCGTTATTGAGCTAAGGGCTTGCAACATCTTGTGAAATATTTTCCATTGAAGTCTGTCACGCCTGGCGAACAATTCACTAGCCTTGTCTGGGGACGTCCGATAGCGCGTTCTCGTATACTGTATGCCTATATATATAAATTTTGTATTTTGTATCACGACACATCATACGTGTAGTATTGGTGTCGTGCCTGGTTAGCGAAAATCCAATTTTCCCTAGTATCAGTAAAGCGAAAACCCAAGTTGGGGTATTTGTCCTACGAAAGCGAGAAATGACGCAAGGTCGCTGGATTTTACTGTCTTCCGTGTACGGGTCTGTCTCTGTTCTCATACTTACATAAACCCATATTTCATAATTCTTACCTTCCAAGTCCCCAGACCAACAACAGGCATACACTTTCCATCACTCAATTTGACGATGGGAACTGCTGACATGTCGACGATCGGAGTAGCATGCGGTGAAGGTGCCTGACTTGGTATGCTGCGCTGACACAGCTACATATTTACATGGTTCGTGATCATATGATGTTGTGCATGGGCAGGCTTTGCATTACCTTCTTACCATATTTTCATCGAAAGGCCATTTATTAGTCAATCGGCTAATTTACAATTCCATTTTTCCATTCCTGCAAAAAAGCTTTCCTTTATTGAAGCGAAACTATTTGCATTGAAACAATGCTATGCTTCCATGGTTTGCCGATAATCGTGTTCACCTGAGCGTATTACCTTGTGATGAAACTATATGTTTTTGCGTATTGTTTCCCCACATAGTACTCATTCACATAGACTGTAACACATGGTTATTAGCACAGAAAAATATGTTCATATCGATTTTTCGTTTTATAAGTTTATATAGTCCGTCATCAAATGTATACAAAATGAACAGCATTAGCTCTATCTGAACTCTTCGATTCCTCAAACCATACATATCACATACCACATTATTTTATTCTGATATTATGTTGATTGGGAAATTCAGATATCAACGAAGATTAGCTTTAGTTTTGGTTCATAACATATACACGATACCTAATACACTGGAGGTGCATGACACATACACCATACCTAATACACCGGAGGTACATGACATATACACCATACCTAATACACTGGAGGTACATGACACACACACCATACCTAATACACCGGAGGTACATGACATATACACCATACCTAATACACCGGAGGTACATCACATATACACCATACCTAATACACCGGAGGTACATGACATATACACCATACCTTTTACACTGTAGGTACATGCCACAAACACCATACCTAATACACCGGAGGTACATGACATATACACCATGCTCTAGTCGACCGTAGTTATATGATATATATGAAGATGAGATATTTATGGCACATATGTCCTAGTAGACAAGATTTACATTACCTGTACACCATGCCCAGGAGACTAAAGTTCCACGATAAATACATGATACATACACCATACCTAATACACCGGAGGTACATGACATATACACCATAGCTTATACACCGGAGGTACATAATATATACACCATGCCTAATATACCGGAGGTACATGACATATACACCATACCTAGTACACCCGAGGTACAAGACATATACACCATACCCGAAACACCGGAGGTACATAACATATACACCATACCCGAAACACCCGTGATACATAACTGATACACCATATCTAATACACTGGAGGTACATGACATATATACAATACCTAATACACCGGAGGTACATGACATATGTACCATATACCTAATAAACCGGAGGTACATCACATATACACCATACCCAATACACCGGAGGTACATGGCATATACACCATACCTAATACACCGGAGGTACATGACATATACACTATACCTAATACACCGGAGGTACATGACATATATACCATACCTAATGCACTGGAGGTACATGACATATACACCATACCTAATACACCGGAGGTACATGACATATATACCATATACCTAATATACCGGAGGTACATGCCATATTCACCATACCTAATACACCCGAGGTACATAACATAAACGCCATACCTAATATACCGGAGGTACATGACATATACACCATACCTAGTACACCCGAGGTACAAGACATATACACCATACCCGAAACACCGGAGGTACATAACATATACACCATACCCGAAACACCCGTGATACATAACTGATACACCATATCTAATACACTGGAGGTACATGACATATATACAATACCTAATACACCGGAGGTACATGACATATGTACCATATACCTAATAAACCGGAGGTACATCACATATACACCATACCCAATACACCGGAGGTACATGGCATATACACCATACCTAATACACCGGAGGTACATGACATATACACTATACCTAATACACCGGAGGTACATGACATATATACCATACCTAATGCACTGGAGGTACATGACATATACACCATACCTAATACACCGGAGGTACATGACATATATACCATATACCTAATATACCGGAGGTACATGCCATATTCACCATACCTAATACACCCGAGGTACATAACATAAACGCCATACCTAATATACCGGAGGTACATGACATATTCACCATACCTAATACACCGGAGGTACATGGCATATATACCATACCTAATGCACTGGAGGTACATGACATATACACCATACCCAATACACCGGAGGTACATGACATATATACCATGCTCTAGTCGACCGTAGTAATATGATATATATGAAGATGAGAGATTTATAGCACATATGTCCTAGTGGAAAAGATTTACATTACCTGTACACCATGCCCAGGAGACTTAAGTTCCGCAATAAATACACCATGACCTAGTATCCCAGATACACAGTTACATGACATATACGTCTTAGGCGACTAACGGGATCGGGTGGTCAGGCTCGCTGACTTGGTTGACGCATGTCATCTTATCCCGACTGCGTGGATTGAGTCTCATGATATCAATCACTGGATTGTCTGATTATTTACAGACTGCCGTCATACAGCTTAAATATTGATGAGTGCGGCGTTACACAACAAACAAACAAACAACCAACATGACATATACACCATGCTCTAGTAGACCGCAGTTAAATTAGAAAATAAACGACGAGTGGGAGTTGGTTATGGCCACTGCGTTTACTCCAGCTAAATTCATGGGGGACAACTCACTAGACACTTCCCTATCTAAAATAATGTTTTGTTCTTAAATGTTCTTTGCTATTTAAAGAACATCCGCTCCAAGGTTGCACGCTTGCACTTAAGATTGAAAGTAAGTTTGTTTGAATAATTAGTAATGCTTTCTGGTTTTCATCTAAAACACAAAGGGTATTTGAAAATACAATATGTTCAACCTTTGCAATGAATAGGTGTGATAAAAATTAGCGTCGCATCTCCAATGTATCAGCCAGGTGTGTGTCAGCTTTTTATCACGATGGGGCAAATAGGTCACTGAACACTGACACTCGAGATCATTGATCCTATTCACAAGTTTTTGTTATCTCTTTGGGACAATCTTTTTCATTCAAAGTGAAATGCCGGGCAAAAGACAGTGTACACCCATGTTTGATGCTGACTAAAAATGAAACAAACAATAACAGCGAAAACACACCTTTCAATATTCATAGAAAATCGATTCGAAGTACGATTCCGACAATATCAATCATGAGCATGTGTTTATGAATGACTATCGAGTAGTGTTGTCTAGAAGTGTTGGCGAAATCGTTATTCGACCTGAACCAAGTTAACATTAGGTTTATGACTTTTTTCACAACGTTGTATACTTTCTTTTGGTAGGTGGGTTAAGTTGAGGCTGACAAATTCTCTCTTTTTCAAAAGTCAGAAAGACAATTAATATTTTTTTCAAGCTTTATATCACAATGTCTATCTTTTTCGATAAAATCCCAATACACGTAAACAGAACATAACAGTCCATGTTTCTCTTTCAATATAGTAATCATTACCAAGGTAAGTCAGAAAAAACTTGGAATCAAGGCAATGCTATAATCATATAGGCACCGTTCCTTGATCGTGTTCAAACTTTAAATATTGAATTTCATAAAGCTATTTCTTTATCCGTGTAGTCTCCGAAAGGCAAAGTAGCGGAAGCTGTTAAAGCAGCCATTGCCTACGGGTACCGCCATATTGACTGCGCGTGGGCCTACGGCACTGAAGCGGAAGTGGGCCAAGCTATCAAGGCCAAGATAGACGACGGGACAGTCAAGCGTGAAGATCTCTTCATTACCACAAAAGTGAGTTATTTACTTCATTACTAAATATCACTGATATATCGACCGTTGAGGTTAATGTCAAAGCTAAGGTAAACAGCAACAGATATTTATTGATTTTCAACCATAACAACTCTTTGTAAACATACCATAGTCAGAACTCAATATGATGCAAAAACGGAGTAAAAAGTATTTTCAGATGAAAGTAGATGTCCTGTGCTAATGCCGTTGTGTCTCATTTTTTAAATGAAAATGTGCAAGTATTCCCAAGCACATTCCAGTAGATAGGAAATGTACGTATCTAACAGGGGGTACCTCATCTGTTCCCAGTTATGGAATACATTCCATCGTCCGGACCTTGTTGAAGGTGCAATGAAGGACTCTTTGGAGCGATTGGGACTGTCCTACGTTGATCTGTACCTAATCCACTGGACAGTTGCCTTCAAGGTAACAAGAACGGTTACCATCATGTCTCTTCATATCATCTGTTTCCTCGAACCTTTATATATGGGAAGAAGATGTGCCATTTCTATGTCCAAAAACTATTGTATATGTAGTGCTCTCATGCACGATGTATAAACTTTCAATATTTACATTACATTTTGTGTGTGTGTGTGTGTGTGTGTATTGTTTGATGTTCTGTAGGAGGACACTGGTGAAAGCATGCCCAGGGATGCTGACGTCATCCTCATCTTGTCAGATGCTGACTACCTCGATACATGGAAGGTGAGTAACAACAATATGCGTCTGATAGACATGTAAGCATACCTGGTAATGTATAGTAAGTGACAGTGGAGTCCCAATTTTGCCCTGATTGTTATTCTGAGTTCATCCAATTTAAAGACAGTTTGTACATGTATGTCCTGATACTTGTATACTGAATTACATTTCCAGCGACCCGTGAAGATTGGGGTTAGAACAGGTCTTCAGCAACCCATACTTGCCGTAAAGGGCGACTATGCCTGCCGTAAAGGCGACTATGCCTGTCGTTAGAGGCGACTAACGGGATCGGGTGGTCAGACTCAATGACTTGGTTGTTGCATGTCATCTTATGCCATTTGCACGGATCAATGCTCATGATGTCAATCTCTGGATTGCCTGGTCCAGACTCGATTATTTAGTGTGGCGTTAAACAACAAACAAACATTTCAAGTAACATTAAAACACAGTAATTCACTAGCTCATGAAAAAACACAGAGTACAATTTTACATTGTATTATGTAATGAAATTTGTGTTCCTCCAGGAAATGGAATTGCTTGTAGAGAAAGGGTTCACCAAGTCTATTTGCGTATCCAACTTCAACTCAGAACAACTACAACGGCTTCTACAAACAGAAGGGTTGAAATATGCGCCAGTGACCAACCAGGTGAAAATCACATCATACGTCAAGACAAAATGACATTGTATATCTCAGAATAGAAGATATATTATTACACGCGTATGCTTTGATGAGTTGTAACGCTGATTTTCACATACATGCACGTGGTTATTATTGACAGGTCGAAATCAATCCCTACATCCTGAACAACAAACTGATATCATTCTGTCGAGAGAAAGGGATTGCTATCACAGCCTACTCGCCACTAGGAAGTTCTGACCACCCGGCGTTCAGGTTAGTCACTCACTTCATGTAACTGACATCATATTCCTTGTCAGCAACATTCTTGAACATTCTAACAACAAAACAACCAAAGATAGATCACATAGGTTGTCAAGGAACAAAATCCCTTAATTGGACCTTTAAACATTCAAATACTGCCACGACCTTATTGTTTTATTTGCACGTTTGTTTTTTATTCCCAATGTAAAATGTACAGTTGGACATTAAAATACATTTTGTGACGTTCATTTGGGGTCTAATACGTTCTAAAGTGACTGGTTTTATACGCCGAAAGTCCGTGTTTCCTTTGGTACAGCAGAAATAGAGACGGGGATTTAGGAGGATCGTACAAACCACTACACAGTCTAAACCCTGTACGCTTGGTACACAGTTGCAATAAAGGAAAGTTCTACTATCTAATAGTAAAGTGGAAGAGCGTCTTGTCAAAGTCTTGTGGAGAGTATTTTATCGTTCTTCATGCTTAGATCCAAATATGAAACAGATAAGGTGGTGTCGTTGGTTTATATTTTTAAGTTCAAAGTGATCTGTCTTTAACGACGATAATGAAGAATGAAGTGTTAAGATTGTTTCCTGTTAAAATCTGTCTCATTTGTTTTTACGAGTTAGGTAGGCTTTGTATTAAATCATACTGTATTTTGTGATAAGATTACACCTAATTTCAGATCTGATGCTGCTTTCCGACAATTATTTGATGAGCCATCTCTTCAAGAATTAGGCAACAAATACGGGAAAACTGTAGCTCAGGTATACTGAAAAATTAGTACTGCCGTGGTATTGCTGGAACATTGCTAAAAGCAGCGTAAAAAACATACTCACTTGCATAGATTGACACCACTCTTTATCTTTGTTACCTCGTACATATCTTAATACCCCCGTGAAGATCCGAGTTAGAACTGGTCTTCAGCAACCTATGCTTGCCGTAAGAGGAGACTAACGGGATCTGGTGGTCAGTCTCGCTGATGCATGTCATCGTACCCTAATTGGGTAGATCGCTGCTCTAGATGTCAATCACTGGAGTGTCTGGTGCAGACTCGATTATTTACAGACCGTCGTTGTATAACTGGAATATTGCTGAGTGCGGGGTAAAACAACAAACAAAAATGTGTACGACTGGAAACATCAATTTTATAAACAAAGGTTGTCCTTCGATGGGGGCTACAGAGGGATACCATTGTCACCCCCAAGAGCGTCACGCCATCCAGAATCAAAGAAAAATTTGAGGTAAGTAATATGGCGTTAATTGTGTGACACTGAGGCGATTGAGAACGGTGAGAGCAGTCATAGCAGTCAGAACTAAAGTATCGCACATACTAAAGAAAGACCTTTGTCTTGATGTTTAATATGATGTTGGCTGATTCAGCTGGCGATCATGATGCGACGTGCATTTTCTCTAAGAATGTATCCATTCAATCAACACAGTACCATCCGAAAACGAGTGTGTCCGAACCATTCTATACAGATCATGTGAACAGGGATTATGTCATATTTACTTCTATATTTAAAAGGTTTTCGATTTTCAACTGACAGAGGAGGAGATGAACGTGGTATCTGCACTGGACAGGAATTTCCGAGCTTGCGCATTTGCCGCGTGAGTATACTATGTAAAAAACACAATCTGTGTTTCCAATTTGCCGACATTCATAATTGAAATGAACATAGCTTTTTTACATTTCTTTTCTTTTTACAGAATTTCGAAAAGCCAACATTATCCGTTTCATATTAAGTTTTGAATCAACGTGAACTGCAAAATTGAAACACCTTGAACGAGAAATCTTTGTATGTAACAAATAAAGCACTCTGAAGTTATCTGATTAAAAGCCCTTTGGAGTCCGTGTTATAATTCATCACACTTAGATTACGTTTACTACTTGTTAATCAAAACCAGTGAAGAGCCGATGACATTCATCAACCAAGTCAGCGAGCCTGGCCACCGGAACCCGTTAGTCGCGTCTTACGATATGTATGGGTTGCTTTCAGCCCCATGTCAACCGGGTATCGGGGGGCGAAGAGTCTTCTGTCAGATAGCGTCCCCGTGGCCGGCTACTGACTAGATGCTATGGGTCGGGTCGGGCTGCTATCTTTTACGTAGCATGGTTGTTACTGGCTACCGGGTATCGCGATCAGCGGGTGTAGGAATTCCCAATGTGAAAGCGTCCTGGGTGCTTAGCACCGCTGTAACGAGGTGTTTGCTTACTGCATTGAGTCAACATCGGGAGTCCTTATCCGTTAGATAACACCGGATGTACGATTAAAGTTCGTTCTAGATGGATACGTATGATAATAACCTGGAAAGAAGTGGTGTTCATCTTTCAACACCTTTACACTTGATGCCCTTCAGTATGCCTGCTATTGCATCAACGTTGTTGAATATATAAACTCTATAGGTAAACTCTATTCATATATCCATAAGAGGTTGGGAATACAGAATGTATTATATGGTATTCTTTGCCCTTATGAGGACATATTTTATGATGGTATGAAATAGACACTGTCTAAATATCATCCTTAATTTTCAAGCCAAACTATGGTGAACAGCGTTGATGGAGGGGGGATGCTAATCATTAACATTTAACGTCACATCGGTAATATTTCATCCATATCCTGACGTCCACGCAGTTGTGTAACTCACTAAGTCACACATATATCAGCCGTTGCAACTCTGCTTCACACGGGAGGTGGCATGGACGGCCCAACCGTCTAGGCTGCCGCAATTCGCATTATTATGGATACGACACACGGTAGGTGTCTCAGCATCATACTCGTGGTCTTTGGTGTCACCAAAGCGGTAAACGTCTGATCACTTTGGGCTATCGTCCACCATCAACCTGCCATTCTGTGTGTGAAGTACTGTTCGAAGCAGCGATAAACCAAGCTCACTCACTACCCAACTACATCTGTCTGCTATCCCTGGACACATTTGTTTGTTTGTTGTTTAACGCAGAAATATTCCAGCTATGATGGCGGTCTGACAATCCAGTGATTGGCATCATGAGCATCGATCCACGCAACTGGGATACGATGACATGCATCAACCAGCGAGCCTGAACACCCGATCCCATTAGTCGCCTCTTACGACAAGCATAGTTTGTTGAAGACCTATTCTGCCCCGGATTTCACGGGTCACACATTTATCCCCCTTTATCCTCACAACAAAAAAGACGTTACAATGATGAAGCCGTCCATAAGCCCAGACAATACAATTGATAAAAACACAATAGCAACGGGAGTATAATTTGGAAACTTTTATCTGTTGCAAACCGAAATTGTTTCAGATTTGGTAAAAAACATAACTTTGCATTAAATCTTATTCAATGTCACATCAACTTTTGTTGTTCAGTATATGTATAATGGTTCATGTCAGATGTAAAGTACGATGAATGGCATGTCAATATTTTGGCAGATATTTAATGTCAAGTTATGTAAACAATACATTTAAAATTCAAGCCATGAATGTATGGCTACAGGATGCCTTTGTCGAGAGAACATGTCCATGTATTCGGTTCACCTCTGTCTCGGAGGCATGAAGGGTAGGTATGAGAGGATGTGTAACTTGTTGTACAGACTTGGTACACACTTCCAGCCATATGCAACCGATGAAGAAATCGTGTTAGAGCCTTCGTTCTCTTCTTGAGGACTAGAGTCGATGTCATGATGTTTTCGCCACATTGCAATGCCTCTGTCTTCTAGTGTGCCTGAAATAACATACAGCAGTGTCACTTATTGATATACCGAGAATTGCAAAGATGAAGACCATTCTAACCATGCATAAATGAAACATAAATTTGCCAAGATCATCATCAGTTGACATGTCAACATGAAGGGGATTATTTCCCAATAACTATAGATGTGTTGCATTTTTCACAATGTTTTTGCGTATACGTCCAGGCAACGTTTAAACCTTTAGACAAGAAGTAGGCATTCCCATGGGTACCAATTATGCTGCCCTCTTTGCTGATCTTTTTCTTCACATTTCCATAAGAAATCTCTTCGAAAAGCAAAGAGTCTATTGTACGATTCGGACTATATCATCTCAGTTCTGATCGTAATGGCAATTTAAAAGAGGCAATTTGGCCATGAAGTTTAACTTAAACTTTAGGTATATCGTTGATCTGATATCGTTAATAACGGCCAAGTAGCCATTTCCCTTCCACTGATTTGTCCAGCAATTAAAGAGACCAAATAGACCACCTTATCTCTTTCATATTTAGATCTACGCTTACAGATTCAGAGTGACAAAAACTATTCAGAAGATTGCATAATGGACTTAATGACTGAGTCATCCCTAATGCAGTCTTTGCAAAAGTCAACATTCCTTTTATGTCGAGCAATGGTCTGTGGTGTCTCGATTTTACAACTATTGAGGTACACTCGAGCATGCACTTGCTACGAAGATTTCAAAGAGCGTCATGCGACATTCAAGGCATAAGTAAAGCTTTGAAAAAGTTTCATGCAATTGCTTGTACCATATGTTCTCATGGTTGTTTTCAGGCGAATACGTGACTTGCTTTAGCATGTTTTGGGGAAGGATATGCTCACCTTTTCGGGAACACCTGGAATAATCACTGTTTGATAGTGATTCATAAACACCTGCTCATGATATAGTCGGAATTGTACAATCGACTCTGCTCTTAGCAGATATTTCCTAAGAACATAGAAAGGGTTTTGTCGCTTACTGAATTTCTGCTGAGCAATCTAAATCTTCTGAAAGGTACACGAGTATCTGCTGAGTATGTGCATACCTTTCACAGTATTGTCAAGGATCATCGCGACCATACCACCCACGAACATGTGTGTTCCCAAAGTAACTTTCAAAACCGCATCTGCCTCGGTGTTTCCTGAGAGGAAATGCAATGAATACAACATACAGATCATTTCTAATTACATACTAATAAGGAACAGATCTTATTATCCTTCCAGATCTTGGGATGTGGTTGGACACTCGTGAAAACAGACAACAAAGCATGTTTTCATATTCAGAGACTTTCCGACTGTCAAGTAAAAGCATGGGTTCAAATTAAATCGAACATATGATCCTTAAACATGTCACATTTAGTCGGTTCATAGTGGAAAATACTGAAAGTTTGTCTATTGTTTGTTTAACGCAGCACAATTGAGACATGATGACATGCATCAACCAAGTCAGCAAGCCTGACAACCGGATCCCGTTAGTCGCCTCTTACGACAAGCATATTTTGGTTTGGTTTGGTTTTAATGTTAAACGCCGCACTCAGCAATATTCCAGCTATAGGACGGCGGTCTGTAAATAATCGAGTCTGGACCAGACAATCCAGTGATTGACATCATGAGCATCCATCCATACAATTGGGATACGATGACATTCGTCAACCAAGTCAGCGAGCCTGACCCCGTTAGTCGCCTCTGACGGCAAGCATGGGTTGCTGAAGACATCTTGTAACCCGGGTCTTCACGATTCAAGAGAAATGCAGTTGTATTGAAATAAACATCCAATCATCCCTACTCCTCTCGACGATGTGTAGTAAAATAAACGCATGCTGTTCTTTCCACCAACTTAAAAACTCTTACCTGTGTTGATAATATCAGGGTGCCTGTCAATCCATTCTGGCAGGAAAACACCTACAAAGAATGACAACCCCAAAACTGCCAGGTTTCTGGACGAGTTCAAGTTGACATAACGTAAGGTCGAAAAGCCTATCGAGACGAGCATTCCACAGATGATGATCATAACACCCCCTAAAACTGGATCTGGTACAGATGCTAAAGCAGCCCCAAGCTTTCCAAGGAAGCCAAAGATGATCAGCATGACTCCAGCACATACCATCACGGATCTGCTCCCTGTCTGCAACAAATATGATTGTTTTCAGACATCTCTGGTGATTAAACGGTTTGCCGTGAATGCATTAGGCGACAATAAAGTGATTATGTGTACATGGGAATTGCAAATCTATCCAGTCAAAATTACACAAACTATTTAGTGATTATCATCAATTGGCTTGTAATGGACCTTGTGTAGAATACCATTACTTTCCTAAAGAAAAGGCATACCTGACGAGTTACAATAATGCCACCATCAGAACTCTTAACGCCAATCCATGGATAATATACATTACTATTACGTGATGTCAAGTTTGTGTGAGTGTGTGTTTGTTTGTTTGTTTGTTGTATTCAGCAATATTCCATTAATATGACGGCTGCCTGTTAATCCCGAGTCTTGAACAGACAATCAAGTGATTGGAATTATTAGCATCGATCTGCACAATTGGGATACGATGACATGCATCTATCAATTTATATCCCCCGCCCCGATTCTCTGATGTGAGTGAGTGAGTGTGAGTTTAACAATTTAACGTCACATCTGCAATATTTCAGCTATATTGTGACGAGAACTGAGACATTAATAAAAAATATATTTGGATTCTATGAACACTTGTCAGCGATGGACAGTACAATAACTAGAGTATCACAGTTTATTATTAATTTATTATTTAGTATTAACATTTATTTTTATAAGGAGAAGTTATTATGCAGTAACACAATATACGCCAGCAACCAAAGTGAGACCAGGCCGTATTGAGGCAGTAGCATTAAGTGAGTGAGTGAGTTAGAATTTTACATCACATCGCCAATATTGCAGCCATATTGAGAACAACTTAATTATGTTTAAATACTTGTCGACAAAGGACTGTAAAACAGCAAGTATCACAGTTTAGGTATAAAAGAAACCAGGTCATCAGAAAAACAAATAATATTTCAGTTGATTAGTCAGTACAAGTTATAGGGAAACAATATTCAAACTCTTAACCATCTGGCCAGCGCCGTTTTAATTAGCCCGCGTAATCACCTGATACCAATTAGTCTTTGCTACTCAACAAACTGGGCTTCGGGCATACTCGTTGACACCGAGGGGGAATCCCCTTGAATCCTCCCATTTGACTGGATGATGCTAACTATAACCTTGCAAAATCCGTCTGCGTGTCTAATTGTGTTTGTGCGATGATATAATTTTAGACAAGAGCAAATACGTGTACCTCTGATGTTTGCAACAATGATGTTTAAGTTCATATGTTCAAAACAGCAACGACTCTTATTTCCAGGCTAATTGCATATAATACAACAATTACTACTCCCTTCTTGTCATCCATGTTTCATGGTGAAACCCTACACATGTGTATTTGTCGTCATTCACTTGATGCTCAGTTAATGACAGGTATAATAAGAAGTGGAACTACTTCGATTACCTGACAAAGGCTATGCAAAATAAAAGGCCATAAGAAGCAAATTTTGAATCTACGAAGAAAAAGCCGATCCATATTTCAACACTTTCAAACTTGGGAGTGTCGTTTCCCTTTGAAATTAGGCAATGGACAACTAGCAACCAAAGGTAGACCTTGGAGACTTAGGGTGCTTCTGATTCCTGCATGATTCACAGCAGGATTTATGTCATTTCTTTGGTCACAAGTGGTTACATTAAACGCCAATATTGAAAGCCCACACTAGTTGATATTCACTTTAATTAAGATGGACTCACGTGGACAATAATTTTACACATTTGTTAATGACGTCTTTGAATAATGCCTCGTAGGGAGGATTAAAATGTAAACATATACTGAACTTGACAGGTTTGATATTAATTGTGAAATATTGTAATGCAAGATTTAAACGACGCTGTTATAAAGAAGGCTCAACAGCTTCTAATTTAAGACTGTCAACAAGAGAGGTCCTGAAAGCTCTAAGACAGAGGTGATGTCAGGTGAAATGGGGTTTAACGTCGCGTCCAAAATTATTGCACTTATATAGCGGCGTGCATGCACGTGTGTGTGTGTGTGTGTGTGTGTGTGTGTGTGTGTGTGTGTGTGTGTGTGTGTGTGTGTGTGTGTGTGCTAGTCCGGACTGATGCCGATTTAAAGTGCTAGCACACTGAGATACCATGCCGCAGTTTAACATGAATACCCCACTCAGACACAGTATACTGACTCCGTGCCGACCAGTCCTTGTTTTAGCCCCTTAATCCCGAGGGTAACAACAAGTACCATCTTTTAACGTCTTTTGGTATGACCCTCTCGGGCCGGACGCTCTACCTGTAGACCACGGAGGCGGTCTCTAAGACAGCGCCTCAAGACATGATGATGTATGGAATCTAGTTTCTGTAAGTTACTTTAACAGGCTCCACCATAAATGATGGCACCATAATCCAATTTTTTTATCAATATTGAAATTGTCTGTTAAAAATTGTTTGAAAACTGTGACATAATGAGGCATACTGCCTCTCAAAACAAAATTGTTTCATGACACTTTGCGTGTTTTGGTTGGTATGTTGACGTACAAATATATGATATTTCAATACCGAAAAAACTAAAATTCCAAACTGTGACCAGATCAGTTTCACAGTACCTTCGTGACAGAGATTGTTGCAATGTTGCCACTGTAAGACGTTGTAGCGTGGCCGACACCTACAGCACCAGAAAGGAGTCCACCAAGCCCCTCCATGAGAATCCCTCTGTTTACCGCGTGATTTGGTGGAGTATCGACTTCACATGCCTTCGCCCCAGCAAAATAATCCCCAACAGATTCGACAAAGGAGGAAAAGAATGCCGTGCTAAACCCGATAAACACAGCAAGGCTGAATCCTGGCATTCCAAACTGACCTGAAAGACAAATCGTCCAACCTCAAGCTCTTTGTGAAGCCCAATTTTTCGCGTTATGTGAACGAAAGAACATAATCGCATATGAATATTTCGTGTGCTGGCCGAGAAGACACAAACGATTGAGTTATAACTTTAGGCACTTTACATTGAGAGGAACAAATGACATCTTTTCATGCTGCGGAATGTACTTTTCTTCAATGACTTATGTTTCAATACTGGTTCAATTATGTGTACCAACAATAAATATGCACAAGCGAAATGCAGATGTATGCCTATCATATATTTAATTTCACAAAAGCGCTGAAATATTCACAGTAAGAAAGTATCACACGAAATATCACTTGGGTGAGAGATCAAGCGATGTGCATTTCGGGATTAAATACAATATATTGCATCACAATGCTTCACAGACCATTGCGACGTCACCATGACGTCACAATAAAAGACCTCAGACAAATCTCTGCTACTGTCCGGCGGCACAGTGCCAAGCCGGTTATCTGTACTCTTTACACTCAAGACACTGATATATAACTATTTAAAACCAAACACGTTGGAAAAGAATGATTTTGGATGATAAATGGAATCTCACCCTTGTGTCTTTTGATATAAAAAAAACGGTGAAAGAAAAGTATGAAACTCCTTGGGGTGATATTCTATATACATTACTTATACAAACGAGTGGGACAGAGACAATCGTACATCAATCTACACAGTTAATTTGATGGTATTACCAAGAGTTGTAAATTGGGAAAATCAACGTGACTCTTTCGGTTGGACCCGCTTGAAGTTAGTTAGTTATAAACGCCGCACTCAGCAATATTCCAGCTAATATGACGGCGGTCTGTAAGTACAATCGAGTCTGGGTCAGACAATCCAGGGATTGATATCATGAGCAATCCATAGAATTGGGATCGATGACATGCATCAACCAAGTCAGCGAGCCAGACCACCCGATCACGTCAGTCGCCTCTTACGTCAAGCATAGTCGCCTTTTAAGACAAGCATGGGTTGCTGAAGACCTATTCTACACCCGGAATCTTCACGGGTCCATACTTTGGTCAAGAAATGAATGCCCCGACATACTTGGGTCAAGTCGGGGCATTCATTTTGACACTGGCTGCAGTCGTACCTTTCAAAGGTTTGGTTGTTTTACGAATGACACGTGAAGAAATCGACAATTTTTCCGTGTTTCCTGTTCTCTACGTGCAATCCTTTTTCTGTGCACGACGGCGACTGTCTGTCCATGTTTGTTTGTTGTTTGACTCCGCACTCAGCAATATCCCAGCTTTATGACGACACAAACGGCCATTTTGCTTGCCGTAAGAGGCGACTAATTATAACGGGATTGGGTGGGTTGCTGAAGACCAATTCCCTCTCGGATCAAAAACATGCAATTTATAGTGCTTGCCCTCTGATATACCATTCCTCATTTTAAACATGGTTACACCAATCAGATACAATATACGGACTGTGCCGACCGGTCCCACGTTTACCCACTTAACGCCTACCGGCAGGCAGGGTGTCATCAAGTACCATATTTTAATGTCTGTGGTAGCTACCGCTCTCCGGGCACCCGCTGTAGACAACGGTCTTGTTGATAGTTTGGTACTTACACCAAATATTGTTTGTCTTCCAATCACAATGCATCCGGAAAACGATGCCTCCGCTAGATCTATATGGTATCAACACATTAAATGAGGATCCTACCACACGTATTCGACGTAATAAGCACCCAGGGCGCTCTCAAAATTAGTAAGAGTATAAGTTTGGCGAGAAAATTAAAGGTGCACAGACCACACGAGTGCGTATTATACACGAATAAATAAGTCTTGGGTACAATGATCAATTGGAAGGGATGTTAATTGGGATTGTTCACTAGCCAATATATCAGCAAATATCGCCGTGGGCGCTTATGAGGACGGGGCGCATATTACGTCGAATACGGTACGTCTTTTTCTGGTCACCTGGGTATGGGAAAATCAGCCAAGGCGTTCGGAAGACGAGGGAGGATTTAGCGTCGGTCCTGGCTTTATAACTAACACTGCCAGGGTCGTCTGGGAAGACGTCGGTGACAGTGAGGAGGGCGCATATCGTCCACATCAACATGATGCTTAGCAAGATCTGAAACACATTTAAGACACCTTAACTAGCCAAACGTTTTGTGAGCATATCTGAAGGCTATATGGTATAGTGCACGTTTAACTTAAATAATATACTGAACCAAATTAAAAACTTCACAATCCTAAAATTTTAACATTTTGACCAGTTATCATTGTGGGCCCTTATTGTGTATTTAAACAGTAATGGCCACGCACTGTCTTCAGATAACACTCGTTTTTGTGCAGGTGAATCGATCAAAATCATGTGCACAGCACTATAGTGGCAAAAGTGGTTTTTCGAGTGTAACTGGTCAAGTGGCCATAATACCGCACGTGTTTTCAGACATACTTGTTAGCGGTCATTAACAAAAAAAGAAAAACACAAGAAAACAAAAGTCTTTACGGCCATTTGTCATGCCACGCCTTTCAAAAGTGCAACGTGAACGTGCCATCGGCATGTTGCAGACTGGAACGTCCGAAGCTGAAGTCGCAAGGACGATGGGTTGTAGTCGACGGACTGTTTATGATTTACAGACGCGTCTACAGCAAACGGGTACCACCGCTGATCGCCCTCGGCCAGGTCGACCACGTGTGACGTTACATGCAGAGGATCGTCAGATTGTCTTACGTCACCTCCGTAACCGATTTTTGACGGCTACATCAACCAGAAATGTACTGTTTAGGGGTAGACTGAGTCCGCAAACTGTTCGAAACCGTCTGAGAACTTCTCACCTTCAAGCACGACGGCCATACTGCGGGCCGATTCTGACTCAATTACACAGATGTCAACGTCAATTGTGGGCACAGCGAAACTTACGATGGACTCGGAGGAATTGGAATTAAGTCATCTTAAGTGGTGAATCCCGATTTAATCTTCGGTTTGCTGATGGTAGGGCGAGGGTGTGGAGGCGCCGTCATGAACGTTACGCCCAGTGTTGTGTACAGGAAGTTGACAGATTTCGAGGCGGAAGTGTCATGGTGTGGGGTGCTTTCTGTGGCAATGCAATTCCAGGCTTCTTGTCATCCGCAACCTCAACGCTGCTGCTTACCGCGACCAGGTACTGGCACCAGAACTTCTGCCTTTTATGGCATCACATGGACCCGGTTTGATCTTCCAACACGACAATGCAACACCCCACACAGCAATTTTGACAAGGAATTTCCTTCAGAATTCGGAAGTCAACGTCATGGACTGGCCGTCAAGGTCTCCCGACCTCAGTCCCATCGAACACGTCTGGGATGTTCTTGGCAGAAGTCTGCGCACTCTCCAGAACCAACCACAGAATTTGCAAGATCTTGGCACCATTTTGCAGCAACAATGGCGTCGTGTTCCCAATCATGTGTTCACAAGCATCACAAGGTCCATGCAGAGGCGTTGTGTGGCAGTTGTCAACGCACATGGTGGCCATACACGCTACTGAACTTATGTGCCATCAGATTCTCGTGCTTGGGACTTATGATTTAAACTGTTGATGTTATTACCGAATACCGTAGGTGCTTGGAACAAATTATGGTTACCACCGTTAATTAAAATCCTTCTTTGGACATTAATGATTAAAACTTACCTCCTCTGATACATTTGTCCGTTGTATATCATATATGGGATTACTTTTAAAAATGTGAAGTTTTTAATTTGACTCAGTATACATACACTATGTTATGAAGCAAAGTGCACAAGGTGGAATAGCAATAGCAATACAAACATAAAAACAAACCAATGTAGAAACTTTGTACTGCGTCTCTCGGGAGGTACAGTCGTCAAAGGAGTCGCGACTGACTGTGCAGAGCGGTGCCCCTAAACAAACAGTTCAGGGGTCATGGGGTCGAATACCAGCCCCTCCCTGGATACGATCTTCAATAGACAGCACTGTGATTCGTGTTCGTGCTTGTTTGATCACAGAAGTGATAGTAGCTCAGACCTGCATCCCTCGCGCTTTCCTACCATATATAGCGTGTCCTACCATATATAGCGTGTCCTACCATATATAGCGTGTGTCCCTTCTTATAAGTAAATACTACTCAAGTGGTGCTTGTATGACATAGGAACAATAGGTGTGAATAAACTTGATCAGAACATAAGTGAGTGAGTGAGTTAAAATTTAGCGTCGCATCGGCATTATCTCAGCCATATTTCTATGAGATCAAGTTAATATATTTACAATTTAGTCGTTTTTTAACAAAACTTTGCATAAATAAGTTGTAAGACATATTTGAACATACTATATTTAGAAACAATTCCTGAAACATATTTGAGCATAAAAATATAATTATATATACAGTTTTAAAACACGGGCGATAGGCCATCATTAACCAAAGCTAGGCCACCTCGCTGTGGATCATGGGGACTTACAGTACCTCTGCTTCCTGCATGATACCCCAGCAGGATTTACGTCATCACTTTAGCCACTTGTGGTTGTGCACAATGCCAGCCAATATTAAAAAAACACCCATCAATGAGTTGGCTTAAAACACTGGTTGATGATAGTTACATTGATTATGATAAGATTACGTGTCACACAGGGGGGCAATATTTTTACGGTACTTTAACCTCCTGGACAGAGCCTTCAATAATGTCTGTTAATAGTAGCATCACACCAAAGTTGGGGGCACGGGTAGCCCAGTCGTCTAAGGCGCCCGATTCGCTGTGCAGAATTGCAACCCTTGGGCACGCCAGAAACCTATGATTGTGGGGTCGAATCCCGGTTCGCCCCGATTATGTTTCTAGGTTTGTCAGCACCATACCCGTTCTCGTGGGTTTCATCGAAGTGGTAAACGTCTGAGACCTGCATCACTTCGGGCTTTAAGCTGACACGCCGCGATATAACTGTAATACTGTTAAAAGCGGCGTTAAACCCAACTCACTCACTCACTCAAACCAAAGTTAAAAACAAGCATTTAATTATTCACATACATATTTAAAATTTATTATACCGACCAATTTCTTTCAAGTAATTTGTGATGAGATGCCTGCTGACACGGGAAAATAGATCTTTTAGTTTTACACTTTGATAATGTGAATCCCTTGTGAATATATGCTTGACGGTGAACCTTTCATCACAAGGGATACACTTAGGAGGTTCGTCCTCATCTGTCTTAAGCAGATATTCGTGTGTAAACCGACTGTGGCCAATACGACATCGTCGTATAACGACCTCATCAAGTCTTGACTGACAACCCAAGTAGGTATGACCGATTGTTGGTTTCAATTCGTGTAGTTTATTGCTTCCTACTTGGGTGTCCCACCTCTTTTGCCAGAGATCCCGAGTATAAGATTTGATGGTTGGTTTGAACTCACTGGACGGGATAAGAAGTGGAGATAATGCTTTGTCAAGAGCTGCTTTAGCTGCAGCATCGGCTTTTGAGTTACCTGTTATGCCTACATGACTTGGTAACCAGCAAAAGACGATTGGCCAGTGGAAAGATCATTATAGAGTTCTAAATTGTCAAGGATAATAGGGTGATATGGTGAGACACTTTAAGTGTCTGAAGGCAAGATAACGAATCAGAGAAGATGATGAATTATTGGTTTTGTTGTTGAATATAGGTCAAAGCTGTTAGGATAGCTTTGGCCTCAGCAGTAAAAATTGAACTAAAATCTGGGAGTCTTGAGGAGTCAGTTCTGGATCCAATGATGGTGGCACTTGCAACTTTGTCACCATCCTTAGACCCGTCTGTAAACATGGACCTGTGAGAATTACATTTGGAGCGTAATTGGTTATATGATTGTTGATATACCAAAGGATTGGTATCCGACTTTTTTAGATTGGTTAGAGTGAGGTCTACTTCTGGCTTCACCATCTGCAAGGGAGAAGATAGAAGGCGGTAATTATAAGGTGATTTAATATTTAGATCTATTTTAGCGGCAGTGATGTGTGGTTGAATTCTGATTCCAAGTGGTGGAACCAGGTTTGATAGATTTTGAAACAGGTTTTCATACTGAGGGTGTCAGAACATGAATCATATATTTGGTCATGACCATGACATACCGGAAATAACCCGAAAAGTCGTACAGCGCTCCTCTTCCGTTTCTCGTTGTTTCTTCCACATGAAGGGAGTGGTATTTGTACGTTTTCAAGGAAAAGGGAAAAGACGATCACCGTCACAGCACCTCTGTCGTAAAAAGAAAATTAATCAGTAAAAGAATGAATGCTGATTACACCCGTGAAGATCCGGGTTAGAATTGGTCTTCGTCAACACAACTTGATAATCATAGGAAATCTCTACTTAAAGCTAAAAGCCATTGTACTATTCCGACTTCCTCAAAAGCAAGCGTTATTAAGTTATGATGTGACCAACTTAAACAATAATACACGTTTTACTCACGCCAAAGCAATTTCCCATGAAGGTCTTGAATAAAGTATTGGGATTTTGTACAAAGAAAACCCAACTAGTGATATTGTAGGCGCCACAGTCACGGGTCCAATGTAACGAAGCAGAGCCCCGACAACACCTGTTGCACCAATAAATATCTCAACCAGTGAAGCTGCCATTAGGCTTCCAGATAACTGCAATATAACCATGAACAAAGAGTGGATATATGTGATTTCCTCCCTCAAACTCCAGTTTAACGATTTCAATTATATTGAGGAATGAATTAGTTTTAACAACAATCTAATAGTAGATCCTTACGGAAAAAACAAAACAAGACACATGTATCATATCCTGCGTCCATAGAAGATGGTTGGATGGTTGGTTGTTTTAAGCCGCACTCTGCAATATTCCACCTGTATGACGGCGGTCTGTAAATAACTGAGTCTGGACCAGACAGTCCAGTGATTGATATCATGAGCATCGATCCACGCAATTGGGATTGATGACATGCTTCAACCAAGTCAGCGCGCCTGATCACCCGATCCCGTTAGTCGCCTCTTACGACAAGCATAGTCGCCTTTTACGGCAAGCATGGGTGGCTGAAGACCTATTCCACCCCGGCTCTTCACGGGTCGCGTCCATGGAAGAGAACGAACACATGGAGCGTGAAGAGACATCTTGTGGAAGCAATGTTTTGGTATGCCAAAAAACGTTTCTTCAGATCCTCGTGTATTGTCGGCAAATTAGAAAAAGTAACACAAAACATACATAAAGATAATAAACGTGAATTAGGTAATGAAGTCTGATCGAATATTTAAACTTTATTATCATTTAGTTTTACAGGCCGAATAAATGCCTTCATTAATTGCCATATTATTGTGAACATGTTTTTTAAAGAAGATATCTTAAAACTTGATAAAGCACTGTTACTTTCTGTCAGTTTATGTTACCTTCTGCAGCTTTTCAGTTTCGGAAAGTCTGAGTGTGGAAGCATATTCAGATATGTTGAAATCAGTAATTAGCGAAATGTTCTGGCCGCCCATCGCATCACCTGGAGAAGCAAAACAATATAGTTATATAACTTGGAAATATCTTGGGCGTCAAATGATTGGAACAGACAAGTCAGTGTGAAAGTCACCGAGTCTGACCACCCGATTGAATAAGTCGCCACGTTCAAGCATATCTAGTTGGGGATTTATTCTAAAGTGAAATGACCCGTGAAGACCCGGGTTAGAATAGGTCTTCAGCAATTCCATTCAAGAGGCAACTAGGCTTGTCGTAAAAGGCGAATAACTGCATGCCATCGTATCCCAATTGCGTAGATTGATATTCATGATGTCATGAATTGTCTGGTCCAGACTCGAGTATTTACAGCTGGACTATTGCTGAGTGCGGCGTTAAACCTCAAACAAATGTGAAGTGAAATGTCTACTGGGGTTGATTTCATGAAGGGAGTGCAGAGTTGCATTGATATTCGACCCAAATGGATATGATCATACAGGATAGGAAAATGAAATATTAAATGTCATCGCGAGAGAATAATTAGTCTCCATCACCTGTCGAAACATTGGACTTATTATATGTAACAGGTCTTGAGAAAACGATAACTGTCAAATACTAAAAGAATATACAAACCTTCAGTGGTCTTAGTTACATGGTTACATGACCATTCAATATCGTTCTGTAAAGCGAGTAGAACTGGTAAAAATGTTGATGACGGTCCTTGAAAAATTGGGAGTCTGACAAAGGAAAATTGAAGAAAGATTAGTTATTGTTGTTGTTGGTTTGTTGTTTAACGCCGCACAACGTTACACGGATGTCATTCTTCGGACACACGTCCTTCCTATTATGCAACAAGCGAACGTCATTTTCCAAGACAACATCCGACCTCACAGGGCAAGACTAAAAACAGCCTTTCATGAATCACAACATCCTGGTCCTGCAACAGTTCGGGATCTGAATGCTTCTTTGGGACGACGATGCAAGTCTGCTTTGGACTCAAATGGTGACCATACAATATATTGAGGACAGATGACATTCACCTTGAAAATCGACTATTCCATGTGTGCCATATGGAACCTGGATCAATGACAATGATTTGTGCCAATATATAAAATATACATCTAAAATCACCTTTGCGTTTCATACGCTTGCAGAGTATATCTTTGAAGTTCATATTGATTAATTCAATACAATTACTCAGATTTTACACCTATTACAATGAAGAGTTATGTAGGAAAAGGATCGAAGGTATAATAATACACTTTAATTTCTTTGCGATGTGTTCTCTTGTTGTCAACTTGATATGTCCAGGTCGACCCGGGGTAGAATAGATCTTCAGCAACCCAAGCTTGCTGTAAAAGGCGACTAAGCTTGTCGTAAGATGCTATGTTACACGTGGTCTGGTTCCCTGGCTTGGTTGAAGCATGTCACCAATCCAAATTGCGTGGATCAATGCTCATGATGTCAATCACTGAATGGCTGGTCCAGACTCGAATATTTGACAGACCGCCGTCGTATAGCTGGAATATTGCTGAGTGCGCCGTTAAACAACAAACAAAGAAGAGAAAGATATGTCCAGGTCAAAATGGAAGTCTATTTCAAAGTGAATGAGAATGGAATCATATTTATAAGACAACACATGCAACTGAGTTTAGGCTTCAGTTTAGAATCTTACACAGACTACTGACAAGAAATGTGTTTGTACAGAAACTGAAAATTGTTGACAACCCTTTTTGCACTTTTTGTGAAGAAAATGAATGGGAATGTAAAATTGAGGTATTGTTAATGAACGATTTTTATATTGGATAACGGATAATTGTGATCATGTTTTCAACTTAAGAATTTCTCTTGAACTAATAATATATAAAACATATCATGGTATATTTTATCTGGTTTTACTTTTGGCAAAGTGTTACATTTATGAGTGAGTGAGTGAGTGAATACGGTTTTACGCCGCTTTTAGCAATATTCCAGCAATACGGCGGGGGACACCAGAAATGGGCTTCACACATTGTACCCATGTCGGGAATCGAACCCGGGTCTTCGGCGTGACAAGCGAACGCTTTAACCACTAGGCTACCCGACCGCCCGTTTACATTTATGACCCCCCCCCCAAAAAAAAAATAAAAAATGAAAACTAGCATGGAACCATAAAATTACATCACTAGACAGCAATACATTATCAAAAAGAGCTATAGATCGCCAGCAACTGATGGTAGATCACCGTTCTGGGGACCATGGTGACTTACAGTGCCTTTGCTACCTGCATGGGTCCCCACCTATATTCTGAGTGTGAGATGGGACTTAATGATGCTTTGAACAATGATATCAGTTATATCACTGCACAACATTGCATTGTGTACATACATTGCAGGCGATGAGGTTATAGTGTACCAATTGTGCATTCCAAACAAATACAGAAACAGTACCCAGAGACATATTCTCGTTTGCAAAATAATGAACACATTATTTAGTTAACCAACTTTATCATTACAGGAATGAAAGAATGTATGTTCATCTTAATCAGACACATAGGAGATGCCAGTACGCAATACTCTTACCGTAAACCCAGAATCGTTTGGGATACTGTACAAATGCCACACAAGAACAGTGTTGAAGAAAACAACTTTGGTCTGATTGGACTATCAGAAGCTGCGCACAATACGTCTGCGACGATGAAGCTTGTAGTCAAACACGCTGGTAGACATATTAAGACATGCTGAAAAATACATACATGTATATCCGATATTACCAAGAGCACTGGGCGTAAGGATTTGTGTTTAAATCGCATTAGACAGTATTTCAGTTATATCGCAGAGTTTCAGGTGAATGGGGACAGAAAGTAATAGCGACACAGAGCAATGTTTAACCATTTATGACTGAACACAATCTAGTAGAACCGAATCCACGATCTTAGGAATCGAAATTTTGGTACGACTAAGCGACACAACTTTGCAAAGCGACTGCAAAAGACCCCCTCAAATTTGGACTGACAACCCAAGTACATGTAGTTGTAACCGAAAGCTGAATTAATTGCATGTTGTTGTTTGATGTTGTTGAACGCCACACTCCGCAATATTCCAGCAGTCTGTAAATAATCGAGTCTGAACCAGACAATCCCGAGATTGACATCATAAGCATCGATCCACGCAATTGGGATCGATGACCTGCATCAACCAAGTCAGCGAGCCTGACCACCCGATCCTGTTAGTCGCCTTTTACGACAAGCATGGGTTGCTGAAGACCTATTTTACCCCGAATCTTCACGGGCCCGTTCGTAAGAACCCAAGGTAATGCCTCAGGCCTTGATAATTGATATAGTTGGTTGGTTGGTGGTTTATTGTTTAACGCCGCACCAAGCAATATTCCAGCTATATGATGGCGGTCTGTAAATAATCGAGTCTGGACCAGACAATCCAGTGATTGATATCATGAGCATCGATCCACGCAATTGGGATCGATAACATGCATCAACCAAGTCAGCGAGCCTGACCACCCGATCCCGTTAGTCGCCTTTTTACGGCAAGCATCGGTTGCTGTAGACCTATAATTGATATAGTATCGAGTTTCGGTTAATTACTTTTACATGCTCCACCATAGACGATGAAGCCATAATCAAATTGTTTTTGTTTGTTTGTTGCTTAACTCCAAACTCCGCAATATTCCAGCCATGTGATGGCGGTCTGTAAATAATCACGTCTGGACTAAACAATCCACCGACTGACATGAGCATCGATCCACGCAACTGGGACACGATGACATGCATCAACCAAGTCAGCGAGCCAGACCACCCGATCCCGTTAGTCGCCTCTTACTACAAGCATTGTTTTCGACTATGGTCATATATGTATCGGGTATTAAAAAGCGAGAATGTTTGGACTTGAAAACATTGATGACAAGTTTTCATACATATCACACCACCTGTTGAAATTAGTCACGTTCATGCTGAACTGTGAAAAAACATCAGGCCGTATTTGATTTGTTGATTAACGCCGCACTCAGCAATATTCTAGCTATATGACGGCGGTCTGTAAATAAACGAATCTGGACCAGACAATCCAAACATCACCGTATTGACGGCGGTCTGTAAATAATGGAGTCTGAACCAGTCAATCCAGTAATTGATATCATGAGCATCGATCCACGCAATTGGGATCGATGACATGCGTCTACCAAGTCAGCAAGCCTGACCACCCGATCCCGTAAGTCGCCTCTTACGACAAGCATAGTCGCCTTTTACGGCAAGCATGGCTTGCTGAACACCTATTCTACCCCGGATCTTCACGGGTCGACTATATTTGAATAATATGAATAATATTCTGAATCATATACTGGTAACTTAACAGTATGACAATACAACCCTTCAGCAACCCATGATTGACGTGAAATGCGTCTAACGGGATCGGATTGCATTTCATCGTATCCAAATATAAGGGTCGTATTTTACCTGTATGGCGGCACCGATCATTAGCGGGATAGGCGGTATCTGTATGACAGTGTATTGCAGCTTTTCATTGTGGGTAACAAGTGGATCTTCTGTTCCCCCCGACTCTTCGTGACAGGAATCATTATTGCCATCAGAGATAGCAATACTTGACACTTCAGCGACACTTTCTTGTGTTAATGAACTCATGTTCACAAACATACCAAACACGTGTACACGTCCTGTTGCAAGAAAAGTGAATATCCTATCATTCTCTGGGGGATACAATATAGAGCCTGATGTTCATGTGGCAGATGGTAAATAAATGTCACAGCTTAAGGTCTTAATCACAATCATTCTTTTCTAAAATAGGCATCAATCAAATGAACAACATATCAAATTTGGCTATGATTGTCACATATTCAAAAAAAAAGGGACATAAATCTATCTACATTCTTCAAAAAAAGAAACGCACAGATAGATTTTATTAATATCATAGATACAAATAGGAAATTTCGGAGCTCGAGAGTCACATGTTGTCGATGTACAAAGGCATTGACAACTGTTCATTGTCATGTCTCATAAGGCCACAAGGTTGCGCTTAACTCAGTATCTCGTATGACCGCCCCCGGCAGCAATCACGGCTCTGCATCTCTTCGGCACTGACGGGATATGTGTACGAGTTCTGTCCTGCGGAATTCTGCGCCATTCTGCTTGTAACTCGTTGGCCAGTTGCGGGAGTGTCTGCTGCGTATTCTGACGTTGACGTACACGTCGATCGAAGTGTTCGATTGGATTGAGGGCAGGGCAACACATTGAAGTTGGCATTTTTGGTGTAGTCTACCGTGACACGAGCTGTGTGCGGTGGAGCGTTGTCCTGTTGAAACAGCTCCCTCTGGCGGTCAATGGTTGGAAGAAGGTGAGGTTGAAGAATTTTTATTCATGTAGCGACTTGCTGTCAAATTACCCTGAACAACAAACAACAACCATGTCAGATCTCGTGGTGTGGTCGACCGGTTCTCGGACGGTATGCAGTGGAAGGGAACTGTGTGTATCGGTCACAAAGGCGGCAAATGGTGCTGTGATGGACGTGGAATTGGCGTGCAACAGAAGACTGCGATTCCCCTCTTTGGATACGTCCTATGGCGATGTTCCGGTGGGCAGCGCTGAGTCTCGGCATTATCGAACTTGAAAAATGTTGACATTTGATTAAAAATTAGTGGCTTATGCTTGCCGTTTATAGCCGCCACCACGAGTTACGAATGCCAGAACTTTTTCCTCCATGACATTTTTTAACAAGTGTGAAAACAATGGCGTTTAAGACATTGTAAATCGACAAAATGCATTGCAAGGCAGTTGTTGACAGTAATCATCATTATTACACTGGGGTGGGGGAGGGATAACCTAGTGGTTAAAGCATTTGCTCTTCATGCCAAAGACCCGTGTTCGATTCCCCGCATAGGTACAATGTGCGAGGCACATTTCTGGTTTAATTCGTCGTGATATTGATGGTAGGTTTCTAAAAGCGGCGTAAAACCTTTCTCACTCATTGACAATGTATTTGTCTGCGTTAGTGCTGAACCATGTTTACGTGGCATATTTTTTTACTCGGCAACAAATACAAAACAAATCATCTTCCAGTTCATCATTTGAATTTTACACGGGACCACATTCTTAAAATCTTCCAAGTGCCAGTGACAATCTAGTGATGTGGGATACTGTAAGAATGTATAAATATTTGGGCTTAATTATAACGCCAAAACTCATTTGGACCTGAGCATGTAAAACACTTTCTGAGCAGGCTTCTAAAGCACTGTGGCCAGTAAAATCCCTGATCAGGAGACTTGAATTAACTCCTACAGATTCGTTTTACCTATTTGATACGAACATTGTACCCATTTTGTTGCGAAGTCTGGGGCTACCAAAGAAGGGAAATCATAGGAATTGCCCACCGAAAGTTTTGTAATTTTTTGTTACACATTATTGGATATAGATCATCTAACGCTGCTGTCTATGGTGAATGACGCACAGTTCCTTTGTACAATACCTATTTTGAAATTTTCTAAGACTTTGGTATCGCTTGAATTTAACAGGATGTTGGTGATCCGAAGCTATTTATTACCCAGTTTACAGAAAGAGTGTACAACTGTTCTTTGCAAGAATGGCAAGAATGCCTCCTTAGACTCAAATGTATTAACTATTTATAAGACCCAGAAATCATTGTTAGATTGTGAAAAATATTTATCTCTTCAAATGCCCTGGGAGTACAAACGTCTGTTAACAAAGTTTAGAATTGACTGTAATTATTTGGGTGTGCAGCATCTACGTAGGGGTGTATCAACAATGACCGATGATAATGTTCTGTGTGAACATTGCAACGCAATCGAAGATGAATATTCATCTGTTTGTAAACATTACGAAGATGAGCGTAAACTGTTATAATCTAAATTGTCAAATAAGCAGTATTATTCACTTAAAAGCCTATGTACTTCGTCAGATATTAATGTATTATTGCCATTTAACAAGTTCTTAACACATCTTTTAAAAACGGTTCCTCTTAATTAGTAATTTTGTAAATTTGAGTCTCTTTATCTCCATGGGGTAACTCAAATTATGATGTAAAAATGTTTTGTACTTTAGGTCACGCGGCCTTTAATGCAAATAAACCTGTATGTTTGTCTGTCTGTCTGAATATTTACTAACCATTTGAATACCACGTGGATTTATCAAGGTCGACTGAATTTGTCGTTATAAATCATTGAACTATTGCAGTAAATGTAAGAACAATTTATCCCAGCTGGTACACTGTTGATAAAACATTAAATGCAGTATCTAATTTCGAAGCCACAGAAACGAAAAATACTACTCAAAGTTTGCTAAGGATCAAGTTGGTATAAAAAAAATCACCCATCAAATATAGATTGAAATATTCCAGAAGACAATGATCGGGTAACCCCTAAAGGACCTCAATTTGATGATGAACGGACAATGTCATGGGGACCATGTGCTCGAGGTGCTTGTTAACCTGTGTTTGGATGTATCGTGACAGAATCATTACACATCAGTATCAGAGAGCACAACATTTGCTACTGATGATTGCAACAACTGAATGCAACGTGGAAATAGGCAAATGCATAGGACTGTTTGAAACTGGATCAAGTCAACTTCACTTTGCAAACGCCTTTGGTGTCAGCCAAAGTGTGATCCGTGGGGTATTGAATCGATACCGTTTGGATCAGCTACCAAACGACATGCAGGTGGTCGACAGCGTTAAACCACACAACG